AGGGAAGAAGCTCAGACGCAACCTGGTAAGCTATCCAAGCCCACTGTCTTGGAAGAGTACCAAGATTGCTTCGAAGAGTTAGGTTGATTCCCGGGAGAGAGGTGTCACATTCAGCTAGCTAGCGACACCGTTCCAGTCATTAACCTACCACGCACTGTTCCACTCAATACTACCAATATACATAAAGGAACTCGCAAAAAGGGTCGCAACCGATTGGATAAATTCAACTGTATATAACATAAAAGGAACTCCGAAAAGCAGAAGGAAGATCACACTTTGCCTTGACCCTAAAGATTTCAACAAGAATATACGCCGTCGAAGGGATTTTACACCCGTACGATTGCTGAGCTCCTGCCACAGCTACGTGGAAAGAAGTTCTTTTCCTTCGTCGACCCCAAGAAGGGTTATTAGCACGTTGCCTTCGACGACGAATTAAGCCATCTGCCATTTAATACCCCTTCCAACAAAAACTCGATAAGGTATACAAAGACATCCTCAACGTAATGGGGATTAATGACGACTCGTAGTATGTGGCTCTAGCCAAACATTCTGCGAAATACTCAATGCTACTCTCAAACATAACGTCAGCCTAAATTCTGAAAAGCTGTAGTTCAAGCATAAACAAGTTGACTTCCATGGACACATTCTTACTGAGAATGGACTCCAACGAGGGAGAGGAGATCTGAAGCAATTCTCAACATAAAGAGCCCATTAAACATAAGGGAATTCCAGACGATCCTGGGCATGGTAACCTAGTAACCTGAATCGCTTCTCGACTAAGCTACAGTAATTGACCTGACATCACCCCTGAGAGAGCTAGCCAAGAAGCACGTCCAATTTAGCTGGGAGCCCCACCATTAACGGGCACTCGACGGGATTAAGCAAGAAGTCTGCTCGTGCTCATTTCCTCTTATGACCCAGATCCGACTACACCCGTGATTCCCATGTACGATTCAAGCCACTGAAACAGGCTTTTGAGCCTGGATGAGGCATTTAGACTGTCAAGGAAATGAGCTGAAGAAAGTAGCCAGAGTCGAGCAAAAGATTAATCCGTATTGTAATCGGAGGTAGTAGCACATCGACACATCCAATAAGGAGCTTGCTTGCAATAGTATTAAGAGGAAAATACTTCTTCAAAGATGCTGTAATTAGATGGAGTGCTTCAGATTCGGACAACAGATTAAATTCTGAAAAAGAAGGGTCAGTTACAGTTCTTATGCTGTTGCTAACGACCGGCAAGCAGACTTGGTTTTCAATTTGAGACCTGAGGTCGGCATTTTTTTTTGAGTGAAGAATTTACCAAAATCATTCGCGAGCTGATAGTCATTAGCAGATGCTGGAAACCAGAAAGTTTGGCTAAATTAAGCAGAGATTTGCTTGCTCTGAATTATCTCCTCTGGTCAATGCTGTTCTCATTGATGTACTGTATTGGATTTCAGCCAATAGCAGTACAAGACGAAGTTAATCATTTCCGGGCCCATGGCGTTATTGCTTATTCTTAGGCTAGGTTAGCAGCAACGATTTTCAATATGCCTCCAAAAAATCCAAAAAGAAGTATAAAAAGCCGTCTACTCCTGAGGAAGCTGGCTTTCCAAATTCTGTCGTACTAAAAACATCGCTAATGAGGTAATGGACGTTCTAGCGCAGAATCAGATGATCACTTCTCAATCTTCGTTCGCTGCTATAACTGAACAAGATTTGGCTGACATGGTTTTCGATGTGCGCTACAAGATCCTCCTCAGGCGTGTAATCTCTCGCCTTCAACACGGCAGTGAAGAGCCCCTGGCCATCTAGCAGTCAGATGAATGAAATCTTTTCAATTTCCGATAGGTGCTCTTAAACATTGAAGCCGCGTTTTCCGAGCGGCTTCAACTCTGGACGTTCCTGATATGACCTTGACTTCGGACGGTAAACCTATGATTACATCTACAGCGCCGATGGTACACAGCTAAAGCCTTTGCAGCTGTCTTATGCCTACTGTAGTTAATGCTCGCAAACATAAAGATTCTAGAGCCGCTTTTCACGAAGGACCCACGCGAGGCGAGGAATACCGCTCTTATTTAAAGTTCTTCACGATCAAAGGGACGCGTTTCCAGACAAGGGCCATTTCATCTTTTGATCAGGATAGCCGTGCGAGTAAGAATCGGGAAAATTTTAGCTGGGATTCAATCCTAAATAATTTGAACGCCAAATATTTTGACGCCGCCGTCGCCCAGCGCCCCTCCCGCGACTTATATCCCCGAGTCTGACCCTTCATTTATCTCCGACTAGGAATCGGAAAATTACTCTAGTGCTGCGTGCCCGAAATTCAAACCAGAAATGGAGCGCTTATTCTCCAAGGAATTTGCCCTAGGCCGTATTTCTCAGCTTGACATTAAACCTCACTGTGTTCACCCCATTCGCCGAGTTCCTAAAAAAAGATTCTGGTCAAATTACAGACTGCAGTCGCCTGTAGGACTGATTAGCCTCCAAGGGGTTTGTCTTCAAACGCGGTTCTCCTGCTCATTGCACAGCCCCTGGAACGTCGCCTTTCGGTTGCGAAACTACTTGCTCAGCATATGCCTGTTCGTTAACCTTTTTCTTTTCTTTCACCTCCCGCTTTCCCTACTTCCTTAGGTTTCGGTTTTTATGATTTTACTTGTCTGGCGGTTTGGGCGAGCCGCATCAGGGGGGTGCCTTACGGTGCTTCCTTGCCCCCCACCCCAGCTGCATCTTTGCTTTATCCGGCAAACAAATAAAGTCAATGTATTTGTGTGTAAGTGTCGTTGCTGTATGTCTTCGAGGTATGTAACGAAGGGTTACGTACAGTATTGGACCTCAACCAATAGCAGTATTATGCGTAGTTCAATTCTGGGCCGATCGTATGTTTGCGAGAGGTCGCCAGCTTTGTATCATATCACGGCTCGTTCTTGTAGCTAATTAGCAGCATCAATTTTCAATACCCTTCCACCCTACCCAACTTACGGTGGTTCCTTACCCCCTACCCCTGCCGCGGCTTTGTTTTATCCGGCAAACAAATAAATTCAATGGTTTAGTATAAACTTGTCGTTGTTGTATGTCTTCGAGGTATGTAGAAAGCTTATGTAGAAGTCGTGACGAGCCTTTTTCTTCCAAAAACTTTACTTGATTTCTCAAAGCAAAATAAGACAATAAATCGACATGTGCTTTACAAACCCTCCATGTTCTTTCAGCTTTCCCCCTTTGTCTTTTATTAGTCAGTCTTATTTCATCATCCATCCATGGAACAAAAGGTCGAACACCAATATTCTTACAACTGAATATATGAAAGTTTGGAAGATCATACGTGATTAACAGGATCATGGTGATCCAACAAGTAAAGCAATGTATTTCCGTATAAGGTAGCAAGCTCATCGAGGTAGTCACAAATTTCATCACAAATGGCATTAATAAAAGCATCCTCATTAACTTATGACAGCTTTCTAAATGAAACAAGGTAAACTTTAACATAAAAACCAACTTTTGCGACATTCGTGACATTTTTAAGCTTGCTTTGGATAGACTTCACATATTTATGACAAAAGGCCTTATCGAGTCGAAGCGTTTGCAGAAAGCCGTTTGTATCTTTAAATGGGCAAATAGGGTCTTCGAATACTGGGGGTAACATCTCACCTCAAAATTTTTCTCTTTATTCCTGTACAGGATAAAGTCTCCGTGCCCCATGAAATCGAATCCTCTAAACGAAATAAAACGTAAGGAATATTAATGATAACGGGAAATGAAAATAAAAAGCAAATTAAACTACTGTAGGTCAAGTGCAGCCAAACGGAATAAAAAGGAAGTCGTCTTCCTGCCTTATTCCAGAGCTACGTGTGTGCAATTATAAATCACCATCCTCGTGCATGAACGTTAAGATTATACAGATACATTAACGACACCTGATGGTTTCGAAACCTTGCTTTGAAGTCCGTGGCTGTAAGCCCTACATAGGTTTCGGTTCTGTTCGTAGACATTCTGTGCCAATATATGTCTGAGATAATATTTTGAGTGAATATTACAGTTTATTATTAATTATTTTATTATTAATTATTTTGCGATACAATACAAATTTTATTGTCAACTCCCCATGAGGGCTTTTCAGGGACAATCATAATAATGATAAAGATAATCAAAAAAAATACTCAAAGATTATCAATAAACAATTATTGAAAAACTATTTACATATAAAATTTGCCACATTAAAAACTGATTTAAGAGGAAGGCTTTAATTTTACGTTCAAAAATTTTATTTTATTATTAATTAAATACATCTCATAAAAGCGCAAAACTTCTACTTAATTCACACACACAAAAAAGCTGTTAGATGTATAATCATTTTTTTCTTAAATGATAAGCCAAATTTAATGAATACAAAGGCTACCATTAGTGGTCTTATTGTGTAGGCTTCTACTTCACACACAAAAATACAAACTAGTAGATTTTTTTT